GACTCATAGGGCAAGGTGTGTGGGAAGGGGTTCCGAGTTTCCATGCCCTCTCCAGGCACACCACCCTCCAGGAGTCTCCATGTGTTTATCTGGAAACTTCCTGAACCCCGTCATTTTTTTTTTTTTTTGGTACCAGGAATTGAACTCAGGGGAACTCAGCCACTGAGCCACTTCCCCAGCTCTATTTTGTGTTTTATTTAGACACAGGGTCTCACTGAGTTGCTTAGTGCCTCGCTTTTTGCTGACACTGGCTTTGAATTCGTGATCCTCCCATCTCAGCCTCCTGAGCCGCTGGGATTACAGGCCTGCACCACTGCACCCGGCTTCTTTTGGGGTTTTATGGAGACTCTGTGTTATAAGCATGATTAAAGCCTGGACAACCACGTAGAAATGTGGTTGAACAAAACAGTGTTGAAACCGGAGTTTTGAGGCGTGACTTGATTCCCCACTTCACCAATTTCCTTCTGGGTTCTTGTCTCGGAAATTTTGAAGATTACAATCCATGGACAATCATGGAAGGGAAGAGTAAAAGGAGCAGGATTCATTTAAGTGAGCAGAGACAGAACTCCCCTCAGGTGGGAGGGAGGGGTCATATAGCAGAAAGACCCATTTTGATGTGCTGGATTAGGAGTTTTTATATATATATTTAGGAGGTGATATATTGTAGAGCTTGGAGCAAAATCTGTGTAAAATAAGCACTGAAAAAATATCTAGGCTGTGGCCTCCCTATAATTTCCATCCGGGTTCACCCCCACCTTCCGTTTTCCATCTGGGAGGCCTAGGAGTAGGCTGGAGGTGTTCCCACAGGGGAGCCTCAAGGTATTTTACATTAGAAATAGGTCTTTCCAGTTGGCTTCCAGGTGTGGTTCCTGTGTTTGAATAAGACTGACCATTGATATCCTTTTTTTTTTTTTTTTTTTTTTAATACTGGGGATTGAACTCTGAGGCACTTAACCCCTGAGTGACAACTCAAGCCCTTTTTTAAATTTTTGTATTTTGTTTAGAGACCGGATCTCCTGAGGGCCTTGGCCATTGATATTCTTATTCAGTGTGACCTGATGCCCACAGACTGCTTGGAGAAAACCCTACTAGGCCTGTCGGTTTAGATTCTTGTTAGCTTCTCAGTTTATCATTCCTTCCTCTAGGGCATATGGGGCTGGACCTTCTGAAATAAAGTGGGTCTTACGACCTACTATCAGACAAGGGTGGGTCAGAGAATGTTTTTATTGCCAGCTTTTGGACAGAAAGGTGAGGAGAGATTAGAGTTTCTGGTATGTGCCTGATGGAAGGAAAGTCCTAGTTTCTATGGTCTGTCTTGACAAGAGAGATGTGAGCTAGGAACAGTGGACAAAACCCAGAATATATGTATATCATAATACCGCGTGCACCATGGAAGAGTAGTGACTTAAATCTACTGTAAATTTTTTTTAATGAAATAAATATGTGATGGGCTGGGGATGTGGCTCAAGCGGTAGCGCGCTCACCTGGCATGCGTGCGGCCTGGGTTCGATCCTCAGCACCACATACAAACAGAGATGTTGTGTCCGCCGAGAACTAAAAAATAAATATTAAAATCATCTCTCTCTCCCTCTCTCTCTCTATCACTCTCTCTAAAAAAAAGAAAAAAGAAAAAAAAATGTGAGCATGCCTGTAGACCCAGGAACCCAGGAGGCTGAAGCCAGAGGTTCGTAAATTGGAGGCCAGTCTCAGCAATTTAGTGAGACTCTCAGTAATTTTTCAAAACAAACAAACAAACAAAAAAAAAAGTCAAAAGGACTGGGTACTTAGCTCAGTGGAAATGTGACAGCAGTGCTCCTAATGTTTTGAATATAGCCCTTGCTGCTCTGCCACTGCAGCTTATTTTTTAAATGGACATGATTCTTTCTCTTCCTCTCTAATCTCAGGGAAAACAGGATTACCTTTCTTCCCCATTTTAGACATGTGTCCTTGAGTACGCACCAACACAGGAACAAAGTGATCCAGATTTTGGGGATGGCAACAAAAGATCTCAGAAATGACTGTCTCCCAAATTAACAATGGAATGACAACTCCAGCAGAGAACACCTGGAAGGTAGCCTTTGAGTCACCTCTTTAAAAGCCCCCTGTTCCTGCTGATGGGCAGAATGACAGTCTCTGGGACTTCTCTTTCCTTTTCCTTAAAACCATGCCCTGGGTATTGGACTGGCATGGGAACAAGAACTGAGTTTTGGGTAACAGTGAAGCACCACTGAATTCAATCCCCCAGTATCAGAAGAAAGTGTGTGTGTGTGTGTATAGAATTCGAATAAGACAAAAAATTTATTTTATTCTAGTATTGGGGATTGAATCCAGGGCCCTTTATAACTGACATCCATTCCAGCCCCCACTCCTTTAAAACTTATTCCAGGTGTTTTTTTATTGTTGTTGTTTTTCTGGGTGTTTAACCACTGACACATCCTCAGTCCTTTTTTTTTTTTTTTTTTAAAGAGAGAGAGAGAATTTTAGTATTTTTTTTTTAGTATTTGGCAGACACAACATCTTTGTATGTGGTGCTGAGGATCAAACCTGACACATCCTCGGTCCTTTTTTTTTTTTTAAAGAGAGAGGGAGAGAGAGAGAGAGAATTTTAGTTTTTTTTTTTTATATTTGGCGGACACAACATCTTTGTTTGTATGTGGTGCTGAGGATCGAACCCGGGCCGCACGCATGCCAGGCGAGCGCGCTACTGCTTGAGCCACATCCCCAGCCCCTCAGTCCTTTTTTTAATATTTTATTTACAGACAGGGTCTTGCTGAGTTGATTAGGGTCTTGCTAAATTGCTGAGGCTGGCTTTGAATTGGGGATCGATCCTCCTGCCTCAGCTTCCCAAGCGGCTGGGATTACAGGCTTGTGCCCCTCTGAGCCCTTTTTATTTTATTTATTTATTTATTTTTATGGTGCTGGGGATTGCACCCAGGGCCTTGTGCATGTAAGCCAAGCACTCTACCAACTGAGGTATATCCCCAGCTCTAGCCCTTTTTATTTTGAGACAGGATCTCATTAAGTCACTTAGGGCCTTGCTAAGAGGCTGGCTTTGAACTTGTGATCCTTCCATTGGACTTCCCCAGTTTCTGGGATTACAGACATGCTCTACCATCCTGGCCAGCATCCTAGCTGTTTTTTAAAATTTCATTTTGAGACAGAATCTCACTAAGTTGCTGAGAGTGGCCTTGAACTTGAGATCCTCCTGTCTCAGCAGCCAGCCTCAGAACAGAATATGGCAAAAAAAATTTCCAGCCTCTAGAGGACCTGAGATTACAGGGGTGTTCCACCAAGCCCAGATGATTGACATTCCCTAACTTTTTAAGAGTCTTTAATTATGTCTTTAATGTAAATCCCTGGCAGTAGGGCTGTAGGTGAACATTTTTAATTGATGGTTTTGATATAGAGCTGAGCTAAAATGTAACAAGTACTAAATTCATTTCTGTTCTCAAAGAGTTTATAATCTAGTGAGGATGTAACCGAAAGCTTGGTCCTTGTCCTGGATGCCAATCCAGTAAAGAAGACAAGGTCTTGAGAAAAAAGGAAAAGGTTTTATTTCTTGGCTAGCGATTCTGCCTATCCACAGGAACAGGGGGCTTTTGTAGAGGTGATTCAGAGGAGATGAGATTGGGGAGGGGAGATCAGGAAGGAGAAGGTTAGGGAGAAAAGATTAAGGAGAAATTTAGGGAATTGGGAAAAAGGAAAAAAAACATGTAAGTTTCAAAGCGACAAGGCATCAAGTGAAACAGGGAGACAGGTGATTACCTGTCTGAGATGACCTGCAAGACTTTATATAGGGGGTCCTCAAATTTTACTATGCAGAAACCAATTCCCATGGCCTTGGAAGGGGGCTCTCTATGTAGGAAGAGCTTGTTGGCGACCTGATTGGCAGGGAAGTAACCAGCAAGAAATCCTTTCTACATAGAGAGCCCCCGGAGGCCAGCATGGGGGCCGAGGATTGACTGTAGTAGGGCACTGCCTTAAGTGTCCCTAAGCGGGTAGGACACCCAACGGTCGACCAGGCACAGGCAGACAGTATCACCATGCTTGGCCCCTTCTGCCAGCATCGTCCAGGAGTTTGTCCGTCTTTCTGGGGGCCTCATGAGGGGCTGGTGTTTGTGGTGTCAGTTCTGCCCAAGTGGCCCTTGTTAAGGAACCTGACACACATTTGTGATCGCCCAAGCAAATACTCTTGGTAGGGTTGGAGGTAAAGCCGTTCACTCCGGATTCTAATCAGTGCGCGTTAAGAGTGGCTGAACTGAGCCGGGCGGGGCGGTGCCTGAGGCGGGAGGATGCAGGTTCAAAGGTAGCCTCTCCAGTTTGGCAGCATACTCCGCCCTCAGGATTAGCCCCCGCCCGAGTGGGAGGGAAAACACACACACACACACACATACACACACACACACACACGACTTCAGGGGAACACCCTCCCTCGAGGGGAAAAAATGATCAATCCCGGGGAGACACGACCTGAGCCTCGGGACCATTCCTGCTCTCTGAGCAATCCGAGTGGATTTCTAGAAACAAGGACCCCATAACTTTCCCGAAGGGCGGAAGAGTGCGCGCAGCGGTCACCTAGTCTTAACTTAGCAAGAGCAAGCAGCCGCGTGGCGATTAGCCTCTAGGCTCTTTGGTAGCAGTCAAGGCGGCTCCTGGGGGCCCACGGGCGCAGGGGGCCCTTGCTCCAGGCAGCGCCGCGAAGCCTTTGCAGCCGGCCCCTCCCCCTCCCCGTCGGTTTTGCACACGACGCGCGGAGGGCTGCTTCACACGGGTTGGCAAGGGCCGGGGATAAAGCCGGCGGGCCGGCGCGGGGCTCAGCGACTGGCCCAGAGACCTAGAGTGCTGGGCGCACCTAGCAAGAGCGGCAGCTGCAGGGAGCAGTCGGCACAGCGGCGGCAGGGACCTCGTGACAGGTGGGAGTGTGCGGTGCGGCCAAGAACTCCGCGCGCAAACTCTAGGGCGCACGGCTCAAGGACCCGCTTCGGGGCGCGCAGGTCCCCATGGACACCGTGGAGAAGCAGCACCTGTTGGAGTGCAGGCGCGGAATCCAGTAAGGCGGGAACCGGGGGAGAAAGGGAATTCGGGCGGCGTCAGACGCGCCTCCTCCTTGGCCATCCCGGCTGTGGTTGGTTTCGTCGGAGGCCTGAACCGGGACCACGCGGGAGGGTGGAGTGAGGCCCGGGGAAAAGACCGTGACCCTGTGACCCCAGGGTTCGCTTCTCCTGGGGGAGTTCTGTACTACCCGACCTTTGCCTCTCCGGGTGGGGGAAGGTAGCGGGATGCCTGGGGCTCCACCTCCAGTCCAGCACTTTGCCCCAGGGCAGACCCGCTGTGAGCCCGCCCTGCGTTCCCCAGTAGGTCAGGGAGGGGGAGGCTCTGCTCCACTCTCTGAGACCTAGCTCCGTTCTCTCGTCGATTGACTGGACAGTCTGCCCCTTGGCTAGTTCCCAAAGTCACTCCAACATGCTTTGGAAAGGATGGGGGAGGGAACACGCCCATTCACCCCACCACCACCCCCAGGGCCCCTAGACTCCCATTCCCTTAGCATCTTCTTCTGAACTTGGCCTTCCTACCTTTTGGCCAGGGACTGCTGAACTTGGGAGTGTCCTAGCTGGTCTTCCCTTGGACACATGGGAACACCAAGGCCTCACAGAGAGATGGGACTGGAGTCAGCCATCCTTGCTCCTATCATCTCCCTGCTGAGTGATTTCTCTCCCTTCCTCCCTGGCCAGGTCATACATAGGATCTCTGTGGCGGGAGGGGAGTGGATGGATCTCTCTCCCAGAGCCTGGCCTGAACTTTCAGACTGTTGACCTCGTGGCTGGGAGCAACCATTACTGCCATGCTCAGAAGGGTCCTGACAGTCACTGTGACCCCAAGAAGGAGAAGGCCCGGTGCCAGCTCTACGTGGCCTCTGCCATCTGCTTGGTGTTCATGATTGGAGAAGTCATTGGTAAGGACTTTTGGGTTCGCTAAATGAAGCAGGCGAGGGGGCCGCCTGGATGTTCCCTGTATTACAATAGCCCCAGGTGCTGTGTACTGATGAGCTAAGTCCTCTATATGCACATCATCTCATGTGCCCCTAGGGCAACCCCTAGGGCAACCTAGACCTACAGTGCTTGTTGTTATTCTCCTTATTTTACAGGTGATGAAACTGAGGCATGTTAAGGTTAAGTAATCTTTCAAAGGTCACCCACATCTAGTAGATAGGGAAGGTCTGAATTCCTAGAAGGAAAGAGCATGTACTGATTACCTATTATGCTTTCCAGGTCCTATCTAAACTTGATTTTCACCTTGACCCTTCAAGTACATGTTGTTAACCCTTTTCACAGACAGTGGAAGTCCAGGCTCAGAGTGTAAATCTCTTGCTCTTGGTTGTACAGCTAATGGGTGGAGAGGCCATTGAACTCAGTGTCTTCTTCCAGAACCTGTGGGTCTCCCCTGCTGCACACAATCTAGGGAGTTGGCTCTTTGGTGAACTGATAAGGACCTCCTGACCTTGCCCTTGCAGGGGGATACCTGGCGCATAGCCTGGCCATCATGACAGATGCAGCTCACCTGCTCACTGACTTTGCCAGCATGCTCATCAGCCTCTTTTCTCTATGGATGTCCTCCCGACCAGCCACCAAGACCATGAACTTCGGCTGGCAGCGAGCTGGTGAGGACCCCTGTTGGGCTGGAGATGGGGTTGAGGGAGGGTGGGTCAGAACAGGGGTTCTTAGGGTGGATTGGATCCCTGAGTAAGGTCAGGAGGGTGACTTGGGTAGGCAAAGAAGCTGTCAACCGTAGGTGGCCTCTGTCCTCTGAGAACTCCTAGTCTGATGGGGTAGCCCCGGTTACAGTCATCCAGGAACTCCTAGTCTTCAGGGAAGCAAAGTTCACCTTCTGAAGGAAGCAGTGGCTCAGGAACCCCAGGAACAAATGACAATGGCATTAACACTGCACATAACTCCATGGATCAACTCTCGGGGGAGGGTAGGTTAGCAAAGCCTGCTGGGAGACAGGCTTTAAACTCTCCCTTCACTTCCCACTAGCCTTGTCATTTTTCTCCTCCTGGGGCATGGCCCAGCCTCTCCTCTCGGAAGCCCCCTACCACCCTCTAGTACTGGGGATTGAACCCAGGGGCACTCAACCACTGAGCCACATCCCCAGCCCTTTTTATTTTTTATTGGGAGCCGGGGTCTCATTAAATTACTTAGGGCCTCCTTAAATTGCTAAGGCTGGCCTCAAACTTGAGACCCTCTTGTCTCAGCCTCCCGAGTCACTGGTATTGCGAATGTGAGCCACCCTGCTAAGCTTCCAGATGAATTCAATTTTTTTTTTTTTTTGGTACTGCAGATTGAACTCAAGGGAACTAAACCACTGAGCCACATTCCCAGCCCTATTTTGTATTTGAGACAAGGTCTCTCTGAGTTGCTCAGTACCCTCACTGTTGCTGAGTCTGGCTTTGAACTCGCAATCCTCCTGTCTCAGCCTCCCCAGCCGCTGGGATTACAAGCCTGCTCCACCTTGCTGGCCCCGATGAATTCTTAATCTCCTTCTGACTCTCATGTTATAGTCAGGGATGATGGTGCATGTTCTGTCTCGACCTAGTTACTTGGGAGATTGGGCAGAGGGATCACAAGTCTGAGGCCAACTGGGCAATTTAGCAAGACCCTGTCTCAAAATAAAGTTGTAAAGGTGCTGAGGGTGTAGCTCAGTGGAAGTGTCAGTCTAGCATGTGTGAGGCTCTGAGTTTCACCCCCCAGTACCACAAATGGCTCTGATATTCTCAGATATGTGAGTGGTTGGGAAAGGTACCAGCCACCCCTTCTGAGAAGCCCAGGCCGATCCAGGCAGAGGGAGGGGAGGGGAGGGAAGGGGAGAGCATGGAGGTGGGGGAGCCCCCCTCAGCTATAGGGCTGTGTGCTTAGGTGGCTTTGGGGTCTGGGTTCTTCTCCAGAAATCCTGGGAGCCCTGGTCTCTGTGCTGTCCATCTGGGTCGTGACTGGGGTGCTGGTGTACCTGGCTGTGGAGCGACTCATCTCTGGGAACTACGAGATCGAAGGGGGGACCATGCTGATCACGTCGGGCTGTGCTGTGGCTGTGAACATCATGTGAGTGTGGCCCCGATTCCCCATGGGTGGCCCCTTCTCACACTGTACCTTTGTTCTTGGAAGAAGGAGGCCATGTCACAATTGACCTGCAGTGGGAAGGGATAAGTCTGGTTGCCGCAGATGTCCCTACAGACATAATCCGGGTCTTTTTTCAAGCGGATGTGGCTGAACTGGTCTCGGTGGGAGCAGTATTGTGTAGAGCAAAGGAGTGTCATTTGGGCTCCCTCCTTTGTGCAGTGGCCTCGGTTTCTCCATTTGTGACATAGGTGAACTGGATGACTTGTGCATGCCCTCCTGCTCTGAGCTCTGTCAGCGGGCATCGCCTGGCATTGGAGCTGAGCCCTTTTCTCATGTGGCTCAGAACCAAGACCACACGGGCCGGGCTCTCACTTGGCCAGAGTGTGGGGGCTTGACGTTTTTGCCCCACAGATTTGGGTGATTTGAAGCGCCTATTGCTACCTTAGTGATCCCTGGGCTTTGTCTCCACTTTTGTAGAATGGGGTTGACCCTTCACCAGTCTGGCCACGGGCACAGTCACAGCCATGGACACAGCCATGAAGACACCAGCCAGCAGCAAGAGAACCCCAGTGTCCGAGCTGCCTTCATCCATGTGATTGGGGACTTTTTGCAGAGCTTGGGCGTCCTGGTTGCAGCTTTTATTCTATATTTCAAGGTCAGAGATGGGGACAGGAACGAGGGTGGGGCTAGGGCCAGGGAGTGTAGATCACCAGGAGCTTCTCTCTGCACCTGCGCTTTCCAGATTCTAACATCTTCCTAGCTTGGGGCAAAAGGCTGGGGAGAGGGAAGGAATGGTTATCCAACATCTACCAAGAATCATCACCTCTGGTCTTCACACAACCCTGAGGGTGGGTGGTAGTGTTTTATGCAGCTCAGAAAGGTTTGGTGACTTGCACAGTGTCACACAGCTGGTTAGTTGTGGACCCATGTTCCGACTTGGGACTGTGTTGCCTGTGCATTACCCATCACAGAGGGAGTGAGGTGCTGTGGAAAGGCCAGGCATTTGATTTGAACCGTGTTATGCCAAGTGAGTTGCTTGCTCTCCCTGAGTCTCAATTTCCCCATCTGTAAAATGCGGGTGGTGGACCAGATGCCTGAGATTTTTTTTTTTTTTTTTTTTGGTACCTTTGCCTATGTCTCAGCCCCTCAAGGAAGGATGAGGAGGAAGGACTTGGGCCTCACCCTGTGCTGTGATCTCTCCTGCCTGTTCTGGAATAAAAAGGAGAAACTGGGAGGCAGGGCCAGGGAGAGGCTCACCTGCATCCTACAGAGGGAATCCCTCTCCCTGACATGCTGGGTGGGGGGAAGGGAAGCTGAGCTAGTGACTGAACCCCGAGTCTGCCTTCTGCTTCTCCTGTAGCCAGAATACAAATATGTGGACCCCATCTGTACCTTCCTCTTCTCCCTCCTGGTCCTGGGAACGACCTTGACCATCCTGAGAGATGTGATCCTGGTGCTGATGGAAGGTAACATGGTCTGTGGACTTTCTTTTGGCCTGTGGCTCTCAAGCTCTGTCCGTCTACACAGGGTGTGGGCGGGGCTTCTGCACACCAGCAGGGAGCTCGGATCTGCATTTGCTGGAAAACCTCCTGGGGCCCCAGGTTGATCTTGGCCTCAGCTGAGCCCTAAGGTGTGCCAGTTCCTGGAACTGTCCCCAGCCCAAGTGTGCCTCCTTCCCTGCTGGGCATGTCCCCTGCCTACCCAGGTGGCTTCTGGGTGGTGTCTGGTAGCACCTGGAGTTCCCACAGACCCTAGGCAGGCCCTCGATCTCTAGTTACCCTCCCACGGGAAGTGGGGTCAGATTGTGCTCCCATGGCACAGGGGACAGACTGAAGCTCAGAAGGGGACGGTTAACCCCGGGACAATTACTGAGCACACCCTGTTGCGGGCCCTTCCTGCAGCATCACAGGGCCCAAACCATGCCCCTGTCCCGGAGCGGTGCTGCCTTGAATTACCATCTTATTCACCTTGGCTTTCTTGTGCTTTAGGGCTTTGGGTCCTAGGCCAAGGTCACAGGTTTGGACTTTAATGGGTGCTGGCCTGGGGTCAGCAGGAGAATGTGACTTCAGGTCAGAACTTTTTCCCCCATTAAAAAATAAGCACTTGTTAGTCAGGCACAGTGGTGCACTTCTGTAATCCCAGTGACCTGGGAGGCTGATGCAGGAGGGTCTCAAGTTCAAAGCCAGCCTCAACAACTTAGCAAGTCTTTCACAACTTAGTGAGACCCTGTCTCCAAAATAAATAAATAAATAAAAATAAAAAGGGCTGAGAATGTGGCTCAATCCCCAGTATCAAAATAAATACATAAAACACTGATTGAGCACCTACTATGCCCCAGGCACTGTTCTGGTGGTGAACAAAAAGGATGGTTCTACTCGCATGGAGCCTCTGTTCTAGAGGAGGAAATGAATTAACAAGATTATTTCAGATGATGTGGGAGCAGGCAGGCGGCATGACAGTTTGGGGAGGTGGTGGCAGCACCAGGCCTGCTGGCCAAGGAGACCCCATCTGAGGAGAGGGCACTTGAAGAGCAGGGTAGGAGGGCAATTTCCTTGAGCCTCTGTCCCTGCCGTCCTCAGGGACTCCCAAGGGTGTGGACTTCACGGCTGTACGTGACCTGCTGCTATCGGTGGAGGGGGTAGAAGCCCTGCACAGCCTGCATATCTGGGCACTGACCGTGACCCAGCCCGTGCTGTCTGTTCACATTGCCATTGGTGAGTGGTGGGGACCCAATGCTGGGCGAGGGGAGGCAGCCAGGGGCCGGGAGTACTTGATGCACATTAGTCATTTGGTCATCATGATCTCATTTATCCTTGGGAAAAAAAAAAAAAACTGAGGCTGGGGGTCAAGTCCTCCTCGCCCTGGCCCCTGCTTTCAGACTTGGTCTCTCATGTTCATGATCAGCCTGTCCTGTTCTGCTGGGGTTAGCATGACACGGGGCTCCTGATCCTGCAAGGCCAAGCACTGAGTAAACAGGTCTCCCTCGGTCGTCTCTTCCTCCAGCTCAGAACGCAGACGCCCAGGCGGTTCTGAAGGCAGCCAGCACCTGTCTCCAGGGGAAATTCAACTTCCACACCATGACCATTCAGATCGAGGACTACTCTGAGGACATGAAGGACTGTCAGGCGTGCCAAGGCCCCTCGGATTGACTGCCTAGCCAGGCACCAGCTGAAGTGTGGCCAGGACTTGCAGGTGGCTGGACCGAATGTCCCACAGCCTCCACCAGGACTCTGCCTACCCACTGTGTTAGGAACCAGGTTTATAATGCCTCTTTCTGCTCCGGGTTCAGCATGGAGCCCTGCCTACCGCAGCGGTGGGCCTCTTCCTGGCCTCCCCTGTTTACAACAGCCAGCACCTGGGTGGGGACTCAGCAGATGTAAAGCCAGTTTAACCAGGCTCCGGATCCCCAGGGTCAGCTCCGGAGGGCTGTGTTCTTCAGAGCTGACACCCATAGTGGGGAGGCATTGAGGTACAGCCTGGAACAGCAAAGGGGAGACTGGCCTCAAGGTGTCCTCACTGACCTGCATCTCCCACCTGCATGATTGGCCTTTGCCTATGAACCTATAAGAAGCCGTGGAACAGAACCTCTACCTCCGCCATCGCCATGACAAAACGGTTTAAGGCCAGGGGATGGGGGAGTTGTGAGAGTTCCCTGAGATGGGAAGCCAGGGGCCATCTGAGGCCTGTCTGGGCCTTAGTCACATGTACTATGGGCCAGTGCTTCCCTTCCTGGAGGGGGAGACTTCTTACTAGGTAAGAACCTGATGGTTTTATCTTTCCTTATTTCCTAACCCAGGAAGCTGTGCCAACACAGGAAGCCTTGCCTCAGGTGGGGGCAGGCCCACACAGCCCCAGGGCCACTTCTCTTGCCCTGATATGCAGGCTGTGCAAGGACTGCCAAGCCCGAACTCATGATTGAGCCTTTTCTGTGGCCTGCCTGTGCAGTCCAGGGCCCTGGCTTCCTGGGGCTTGTGCATGAACAGTTCTAACTTAGGGGCTGGGTATGTTTACAAGATATAAGAGGGGAGACCTGTCCCCAGTCCCACAGAGTCAACACACTAGGGAACCTCAGGGCCTAATGTCTACCACTGCCATCATGAGCAGCAGGTGACCTTGGCCAGTGGGCCTCTCAATGCCTCTTGTCTGGAGACCAAGAATGTAACACCTACCTCACAGGCTTGTTGTGAGGACAGTCTGCCAAGCACCAGTGGTTGTTGGTGAGTAGTTCCCTTCATCCTCCTGGAAAGGGGACTTTGCAGTCTGAGGCTGCTTATGAGAAGCCCCCTGGGCTTCCCAGCCTCCCTAGGGGCAGTACTGAGCTCTTGTCCTGCCCAGTGTGTGTGTGGGGGGGAGGGGGCTGGTCAACTACTTGCCCCTCTGAGCCTCTCCCCATTAATAAAATGACTTCTTTGTGCCTTTCTTCTTCTGGTGATGTAGTTCAGGGGGTCCTTCAACCCCTCAATATCTGTGGGATCAGGGTTGGCCTGGAAGTAGGGGCCACTGTTTGTAGCTGCTGCAGTTGACTCTAGTCTCAGAGGGCTCACTCTTCAACTCCTGCAGGCCCCAGCAAACTGGATCCTGGGCTTCACTGTATACCAAGTCCTTACACCCCTCTTGAGAGACAGGCATTGCTGTCCTCCATTTTTAGAGAGACTGAGTCACTTGCTTGAAGTCACACAGCCAGTATGAGGCAGGTCTAGGATTTCTGCCTCCCTTCCCTAGACCACCCTTATGCAGGGGATGGGGACATGCCCTGAGTTGCATGCTGGTACAGTATGAGCCCCTGAAGCCAGCAGTGCCCTCCCCACAGGCACAGCCATGCCAAGGCAGTTCAGCGTCCTGGGTACAGAAGCCAAGACTGGAAAGGTGCCTCTCCCCTGGCTGGGCCCCTGCTGGGAGCCTTCCCCATTCCTGGAAGCTTGCCTGGGTCACAGCTGTGTGCTTCCTCACCCACCCTCAACTGTTCTTGACCCTGGGCCAGCCTCCCCAACCCCCGCTTAGTTTCCAGACCTTTTCCACCCTAAGCAGCTGACAGTCTCCCAAGGGACAGCCCACTCTGCAGGCCCAGCTGTGACTGGCCCCAGGGAGCACCTACGTCATCCAGAGGTCGAGCTGAAGGATGGGGGTGGGAGGCTTTGGAGAGGCCTAGGGGACGGCGTGTTCTGACCAGCAACCTAGTCACGGGAGTTTCCAAAGCTTCAAAGCAGGAAAACACCAGACACCCTGGGCCTGGCCTGACCCCTCCCTCTGGAGTCGCCATGCTGGGGGGGTGGGGGAGTCCTGAGCTTCCCTGCAGCCCCACAGCAGCTGTAAGGGTATTTATAGCCTGAGCGTGAGGGGCAAGGGCAGGCAATTTATTTCGGAAGTGATAATTCCAATTCCAGGTGGATGAACCCGGGAGAACCAGCGTCCCCTCCCCCTTTACACCCTCACCCACAGGGACCTGGGGCATCCCTCCTCCCGTCCAGCCCACCTGGAGATGGCCCGTCTTAATGATCTCCAAGTGTGCAGACCAATGGGGTAATGCTATTTCAGATTCCTTCCCGGTTTGGAGTCTCCGGGCTGCACACACCATTGACCCTCCACGCCCCTTGTCCACCTTCTCACCAGGTGTGCGTGTAAAACTCGGGGCCCTCCGCAGTAGGGAGTGCGGGGCGGCGCTGACCTCTAGTGGCCCAGGACGGTAATGCAAGGCACCCGGCTGAGCCAGAGCCAAGGATCTTTGGCAAAGTTGGGACAAACAGCCTGCATTTCCATCCGTACTCCTGGCTTCTCGGCACCTCTTTGCTTCTCTGGGGCGCGAAGATTGAGCCTGACAACTTAGGCGTCTGCGGATAGCTGTGTCTCGGTACACCCAGACCACACTCCGCCACGCCAGCATACAGTCAATGTCCCTTCTATCTATCGTCAAATATTTGCGACGCACCTGCCAGGCCAGAGAGAAGAGGACACGACCCACCCTCCGGGGCTCCCAGGCGGGTCCTAGGACCCAACGGTGGACACACAGCCAGCCAGCCTGAACACTGCCGGGACTGCGCGAGCTCTAAGCAGCAGAGCGACCCCATCCGACGTGAAGGGCAAGGATGTGAAAGACAGGTAGAAATCAGCTCAGCGGAGAGGCCAAGACAGGCCTTCAGCCACGGGAACCAGCCTACCCAAGGCACAGGTGCAGCCGCCTAGTGGGGCGCACTCAGCCCCGCCCGAGTGAGGGGAGGGGAGGCCCCGCCCCTCAGGACTCCCTAGCCGTGATTGGCGGACCCAGATCTGACGTCTGGCCGACTGGCTGTTTTGATTGGATCTCCGACGTCCCGAAGGCAGGTGCCGCGGCGGCCACCGAGGTCTCTCCTAGGGTTTCTCCAGACTGCGGTACTTCTTTCGCTGCACAGACACCGGGTCCTTGAACAGCACCGGGTCCAGACGGACGCGAGAAGATACCAGGGGCATGTGGCCGAACTCTGCCGCCATCTGGTTGATGCAGTCCGGGGCGGAGGGCTGGGGCTCTGGCCCGGGACCACCAGGAGCCTAAGAGGTGGGAGAGAAATGCACCGATGGCTTCTCTGCCCTTTCAACCCCGCCCCCCGCTGCCCGCAGCAAGAAGGATTTGGATTAGGACATGAGAGGGACTCCCACTCCACCTCCCCAGCCCGTGCCCTCCCAGTGTCCACCCGAGCTCCTCACCAGTGCAGCAGCTCCCAGAGGCTGCTTGCTATAGGGCACCTTGATAGGGGGCAGCTTGGTGACTGCTGCTACTAGGAAGTTCATTAGGACGTCTACACAGGTGGGTGCCTCATCTGCCACGGTCCTCAGAGCCTTGGGCAGGGAGTGGGTGAAGAGGGTGTGGTAATACCTAGGGAGGGAGGGAGGGAGGATGGACAAGGAGAGACTGCAGCCAAGTTCATCCCCTCCCCCAGGCCTCATTCTCCCTTCTGACCTCCCCTCTCCTTTGTCCCCAATCCCCAAACCTCTTTCCAAAGCCCTGATCCCGGCTCTGGCTGCCTCAGAGAGCGCCCACTCCTGGTATGAGCCCCTCTCAATGTGCGCTGCCCGTGGTGAGTCTGCCTGCAATAGTGTGAGCCTGTCCTCTCCCTCAGCTTGGTGCCCACAGCCTGGGCTTGAGGTCTGAGATAAGGCAGAGCCAGATATGGGGAGGGGATGGATCAGCTGGTTCCCAAACCATCAAGCATGGCACCCAAAGACCAGCTTCAGGAAGGATTAACCACGCTGATGCTGCGCTGAGTGTCACTTGCTTCCCACCACACCTTGGCCCCCCAACAGGACAAGCTGGGTCCACCCTGCAGACACAGGCTTCCTCTTCACTCTACTGAGAATTCCCGGCAGAGCTCCAGGATAAATCTGCAGAAGGTCCCACGTTACTCAGATTTGGTTTAAATGTGTTTAAGGGGCCCTCCAGAATCTAGATCCTGCCCCAAGACTGGCACATCAGGCAGATTCCTGAAAGCCTGGGATGGTTCTACTTAACATTAGATATTGTTGAGATCTGTGTCCAGGGATGGGATGGTCATACCACCTCTGTGACATGTAAACTCTCACGTTACAGATGAGGAAACAGACTCAAGAGAAGCGGGGAGACTTGTCCAGGGTCTCATAACTGGCAGATCTGGGCCTTGAGCTCTAGGCCACCCTACTGCTGGTTCAGTGAGGAGTCTCTGGTCCTCTGATCCCTGTGCCAGGGCCTGTGTCTGTACCTGTGGTAGAAGGCAGCTGTGCTGAGAACCATGGAGAACTCGTTGGCCATCTCAGCAGTGTAGCCCCAGCCACCCCTGGCCTCGTCCCAGAAGTGGCTGCACGTCAGAAAACCCACCATCCGCTCTGGGAAGCTCTGCCACACCGAAAAGGCAAAGTCCACCTGGAGAGGGATTTAAGTGAGCTCTGAGGAAGGACTTCCTGACCAACTTGGGACATCCTCACATCCTATAGAGGCAAGGCCGGTCTGGCTGAGGGGCTGGGACAGGGCTCTGGGGAGAGGGGATGGGAGCCATTACTTCAAGTTGACAAGAAGTATAGCATTAACATTTCCAGGGAATTCCTAGGGGAACTTTCTCATAAGGGAGCCACAAAGGCAATGTTTTGAAGAGTCTGCGGAAGCTTCTGTTGGATTTTTAAAGAAGAGGTTGCTGGCTTGTTCCATTGGTTTCCAGAATAAAAGTCTGCCCCTTAGGACCCCTGGTCGTCCCACCCCTGGGAGTCTTAGGGGCTGTCAGCGCCCTGAGTCTCTGTCCCCAGGAATCCTTGAGCCTGGGCCTCACCTCACTTGTGGAAAGATTGGTGTGGGCATCGAGGCTGAGGATGGCGTCCGTGCTGATGGCGCTGTACGGGAAGAAGCGGTCACTGACCTGCAGCGAGGGGTAGGGGGGGCAAGCAACTCAGCCACGAGAACCCCCCGACCCAATAAGTCGGAGTGCTTCCACACGGTGTGGAAGGAAGGGACGGAGACGCACAGGCCTCTGGGACTCGTCCACCCTCGATTTCAGTTTTCCCTTTGGTGAAGTGGAGCCATTGGTCCCCAGGGGCCCTTCAGGTTTGACATCTCAGGTTTCCTCTACCGTCATATTAGACACTCACATCCACCCTGGGGGAAGATGTCAAACTTCCTTCATTTGAAAGAAACAGATCCAGAGTTGAAGGGACTTGCCCAGGGACCCCTGGCCAGTGGGCAGTTACACTCATCCTGCTTCTCAGAGGCCACCGGCTCCAATTTGCTGCCCTGTGTCCATATTTCCCTAAGGTCCTAGGTTTTTCCCCATCCCTCATCTGAGACACTCATGCACTCCTCTGCCTTCCCTCATGCTCTGGAAGCATGATTCACAAGGGCCAGGGAGGGAAGAGAACCATTTCTGTTAGATCTGAAACTGGAACCTGTGGCCCGATTTCTGCAGGCTTGTGTAGAAGTCTGACTCTAGCCCGGGCCCAAGTAAAACAGCCACGGGCGCCCTCCCCAGTTCCCAGCACAATCCCACCCCTCACCTTTCTGCGCCCCTCAATGACAGTCAAGGGCACAGCTGTCTCAGGCCACCTGGATGGAACTGGCCTGTCACTGCTCCAGAGAACCAGGATCTAGGAGGAAAGGGGGATTGCTCCTGAAGTGTGGGGTCTGGGGCAGAAAGAGGTCCCAGGAGCAATCTTTGTCAAGGCGGAAGGAACGTGGGAGAGCCGCTGTGTGTGGGGGAGAGAAGGGATGGTTCAGTGGGATCCCCGTCTTCTCCTGGGTTCCCTGTCCTTGACTCTGGGTTTCTGGAAGGCAGGAATTCCGGTGCAGTTTGGTAGCCCCTAGCCTGGGCTCTGTCTCCTGCCTCAAGGTTTGCTCTTCTTCCAGCAAATTTGTCATGCCAGCCCCGCCCAGCCCCAGTGTCCCATTGGTGGAGCTGTTCCTTCTGCGTCCTGGCTGAGCTGCTTCCTCCCTTGGCAGGAGGAAATGCCCACTGAATCTGAATCCTGGGGCAGAGCCCTCTCCTGCTTTCTCTTTGCAGCCTCAGTTCTACCAGGGCCTGGCCCAGAAAATGACTGCAGAGCGAAGGACTGAATGGATGGAGGGGTGTGAATGGAAGAATGGGCGACTTCCCCCGCTCTCCAGCCTCTCAGGGCCTTTATGGAGTCCCCTGAAGTTGGGGGAAGGGAAGAAACTTGGAACTTAAAAAAGAAGGCAAGAAGAACCCTTGGAAATCCTCCCTGTTCCCCGCTCCCGCCCCCAATGCGTGTTCATCCTTGGGGTCTAGGAGTCTTCAGGGGTCCCCCCTGGGTACCAGGCCTCCAGCTGGTGAAGGGGCCGGACCTGGGCGCAGTGCTGGGAGCCTGCCACAGCCTGGATGAGCTTCAGGGGGGCCTGGCCAGGGGGGCCCACCCAGATGAGGGTGCTGAATCTGCCCTCGGGGCGAGAGCCTGGAGAAGGACACAAAGGCTGTTAGGGTGGGAGGAGCTGGAACCCTGTGCAGAGAGAGAGACCTGAGTGGGGGACCCCAGAGCCAGGAGACACTGGGGGTTGGGGGGGTCTTGGAGGGGTTTCATGGATGAGGTGGGGACAGACTTAGAGTTGAGGGGACAAGTTGTCCCACCCACACATACCTAGTTGCAGGTGGTAGAAGGGAAACTCCTGGGGGCTCAGGGAAAAGGTAGGTCGGGCCAGGAGTGCTCCTGGGGGGCTGTTCCACAGGAGAGAGGGGTGAGTGGGTGCTCCAAAGAACCGGTCCTGAATAATCTGTGAAGTGAGGGGGGTGCAGAGGGAGCAGGGAGTGGCTCCTGGGGCCCCATGCAGGCCCTGTGGGTCTGGGAAAGTCAGGGTCTGTCGCAGCCCCTCGCCACCCCGCTTCAGTCTCTGTGGAGGGCAGCAGCTAGGTCACCAGGCCCCTGGGAGCAGAGAGGTTGAGAAGCCAGGCATCACCAACCAAGGTCATGACATTCTCAGAATCCTGAAAGGTCCTGAGACTTTTCCCAAACCAGCACCCAGGCAGCTGCTGCCACCAGCTGACCCTCTGCGGAAAGGGAGAGTGAGGTCAAGATTGGAGAGAAACAGGTCCCAAGTGTCACAGCTAAGTCTCGGGTTCATCCCACCATGGCGCGGGCCGGATGAACAGGAGTCCAGGGTCAGGCCCCTGACCAGGGAGCTCCTCACCTCCAGAGTGGTCCAGATGACCTTCTCCACCGAGGAAAAGTAGGCATCCCACAGAAACTGGGTCTGCTGACGCAGGGCGAGGACCCGTGCAGGGGACATCTCCTGGAGGGCAGCCAGGACCTGGGGCACAGAGGGAGAAGAGGAGCAGGCCTGGGACCTGGCCAGGCTCTGACTGACCCTGGGAAAGAGGAGCCTGTGCTGGAAATCTGGAAACCAGAGGCCCTGTCCCCAGAGCTAACAGCAGCCACACTTGGACAAGTCCCAGGTAACATGGCCATCAACTTCAGGGGTGACACACAACTGGGTTTAAAGGATGCTTTGTAACCATGCAAATTCGGTCAAGCTGCTTAACCTGAGTCTCAGTTTCCTGATGTGTAAGATGGGGACAATAGCACCTCTGTCCTAAGATGATCATATTGGTTAAATCAGATGACACCTACTAAGTGCTTAGCCCATTGTAGCAGCTCAGTGAATGCACGGTGGCTCCTGTGAATTCCCTGCACTGTGCTCACTCCTCAGGGGACTCAGGCAGGCTCACATGTTTTTCTGAGCTGGGCAAAATTAGTAACATCAGATGGCACAGTCACTGTCACTGTGCAAACCTCTCCCCACCAAGCCCCGGGAAGCCTTCTGATTTTGGATTGTTTTGAAGCTTTTCCTTAAATTGGGTGTTTAACTGGACAGGAACCATTAGACCTGGGCCATGAGGATCATCCTCCTAGAGATGGAGAAACAGGCTGGGAGAGGTCAGGGCTTGCTCTCAGAGCCCCCAGGGTCTCCCCCTCCTGCTGACTCCAAGGGAGCCCCAGAGGAAGGCTTGGGGCTGGGAAGATTAGTCAATTTACATAGATGGGGGACAGGAAGGAGGACTGAGGTCAGCCTGCGGCCAGGATTCTGAAGTCCCTCCCATGTCTGGTCCCCACCCGGTGCCCAGGGATCTGAGCTACCTGAAGCGGGAGCCTGTCATCGACTATAATGGCGGCCTTGGTCCAGTCAATGACTTCAGAAAAGGGCAGCTCCCAGCAGGGACTGAGAAGCACAGGAATGCAGCCAGCCTAGGAGGCAGGGTGGTCACTGGGGAAGCCAGTCCCACCCCCACACCCTCATTCCTCCCCTACCCCAGTTCCAAGACAGCCACTGCTGCTGTCGGGGCCGAGGGGAGGAGGAAAAGGAAATGGTTTTTGATTTGAAGATGAAGCATTGTTTTGCACCCCTGAGCCCCAGAGCAGAGAAGTGGACAGCTTGCTGCCCTTCCCCAGAAGCCCAGCATACCTGCCAGCTCGAGGGGACAGAGGATGGGGATGTCCAAGGACTGTACCTGCAGGGCTTGGAGAAAGCGCCAGGCTTCGGTACGGTGGCCAGGGATGAGGCAGAACGTGGCGTTGGGTGGCCTTTCCCCTGGGAGTGTCCTAAGGAGGCACAGCAGCCTAAGATACCTCTCCCTACCTGGTCCCTCCACAGCCCTAGCACCCACACCATGGCTCCCAAACACAGCCCTGCCACCACGTCCTCGTGCTGACCAACCCTTGTGGCACACACTGACACACCCGCTACACACGTCCCCCTCTGCTCTTGGACCAGGAGACAGGAGCCCCAGGTTCTAGCTCAGCCTGAGGCTCCTCCCTTCGCTTCCCTGGGCCTCAGTTTCCTCACCTGCAAAATGGGAGGCAGTGGGACCTGAAGTTTCCCAGGCTCCTTCCACTTCCACTCTGCCACATGGAGACTCTTCCACATCCCTCACCTGAGTGGCCTCCATGCCCAGCCCTTCCCCACCCCCAGCCCAGGCCCATGAAAGGCCTCTCTGTCAGGAGGTGGGCTGGGCCCCCAGCCTGGAACCACAGGAAGCTCCTGCCCAGAGGCCCCCTCGCCAGGCAGACAGGCCTCCTCTGTTCCTCCCACCTCTTCCCCGCCAGCCCCAGGGCCACGCTCAGGCTGTGCCTGCCCTGGGGGAGGGGTAGAAGTCAGAGCCACCTCCCTGGGATTGCCCAAGACCCAACTTGGGGAAAGAAGGGGGACCAGGACCCCTGGGTTGACAGGGCCTCAGAGTGAGCCTGACGAATAGGGGGCCTGTCTGGTGCTGAACCTGATCTTCAAGAAACCTCAACATATTAGGCAGCCTCAGCACCAGTCCCCATTGAAGGGATGGGGGACTGCGTTGCAGAGAAGCCTGGGGCCCGGCTGGGACTCGAAACCTGAGGAATCCTCCTGCTCCATGTTAACATGTGAGCGCAAGCACCACCTCCTGGGAAGCCCTCCTGGGTCCCCCAGCAGACCTTGGGGCCTCAGTTTCCTCATCTGTTAAGTGGGGCACTAACAGTGCACGCTTCCCATCTCTGGGAGTTGCTGTGAGAATGATGCGAATCAGTGCATGTGAAGCACGGAGAACTGTGCCGGAGCTCAGTGAAGGTCAGTATGGGGTGGCAGCTGGGTGTGAGGATGCACGCCTGTAATCCCAGCGGCTGGGAGGCTCGGCAGGGCAGGAGGATCACAAGTTCAAGGCTGGGCTCAGCAACTTAGTGAGGCCTTGTCTCAAAATAAAAGATAAAAAGGACTGAGGGTGTGGGGATGCAGCTCAGTGGTAAAGTGACCCTGAGTTTAATCTCTGCTACAGAAAAAAAAAAAAAAGATGGGGGTGGGGCTCTATACATGTGTGCGTGCCCAGAGCTTCTCGGGGGACACAGGAGAAACTGGTACTTGGCTCCAGAAAGGAAACCTGGTGGTTAGGAGACAGGGTGGGAGGGAGAGGAGACTTTTTACTGTACACCCTTTTATGCCTTTGGAATTTTGTACCCTGTGAATGAAGCACCTATTCATAGAAATAAATAACAATTTAAATGGGTGGACCTTCTTCCAAAGCAGCAGGAGTCTATTCAACCAGGGTGGAAAAACACTTTGGAGCCCAGAGGACAAGGGTTAGTTGTTTGAACTCCAGGGTTTCCAAGAGCCTGATTCGAGACGCGAGGGCTCGGTGAACAGGCCCCCTTGTCACCTGAGGCCCTCGCGTGGCCACCTCACACCACTCTCTGAGCCCCCGTGTCCTGCGCCCTAGATGGGGATGGCGAGGCCTCCCTCCAGGGGCGCCTGGGACAAGTAGCCACAGTTGCACCTGGCTCCGTGCCTGGCCCTACGCCCTCCTGCCAGCTGAGGGAATGTGGGACTGTGGCAGGGACTTGAATCGCCTCTTTCTCTGCTTGGTGCTTGTTTATTCAGGCCACTTTCTCGGGCTGGCCCCGGGGCCATCGGCCTCCCTCTCTTCCTCTGTCCCTGGACGTCTGTCTGGCCCAGGCATCTGCCGGGCACTTCTGAGAAAATGAGGCTCAAGATACCCCAGAGAGGGGGGTCCTGACGCCTGCAGGTGGGCAGAGGTCAAGGACGGTGACACTGCCACGCTCAACCCTGGGAAGTAGACTTAATAGAGATGCAAACCAGCAGAGGGTGGCCCCCAAGGCCTGGAAAGCCAGACGGGGACGGGGTCTGGTCCATTTTAGACCCGTTAGGGACACTTAGCCCGCACCCACCTGCTCGTGAAATCAGAAAAGCCAGGGGTGGCGTGGTGACTTGTCACCAAAAGTGAGCCTCTGCCTGGGCCGAGTGCTGAGCTTGAGGGGCCTTGGGGGTCCCCTGCTCCTCTTCAGGTTGCTGCTAAGATGCTAGGGACAGGTCCCGCTGGAGGGCCGGGGGAATGACAGGGCCATTCCCTTTTAACCCCTGGCTGCCTGGCGCCCCGAGGCCCCCAAGTGCCTTAGGAGGAGGAGGGATTTCATTCCCAGGGGAGCCCTGTGGCTGGGAGAAGCCCCAGGAACCCCAAGTGGCCAGATTGGAGGTTGGCCACGTGAGGAATGCCTGGGAGGGAAGCAGAGCTTGGAATAGCCATGTTGTTCCAGCAAGAACAGAAAGGGAGCCCAGGAGGAGCCCAGGAGGGACACCAGAGTGACAGTTTCCAACTCAGGTCCGCCCCAGGGGATGGGGAGGGAGCCCTCTGCCACATGGGCCTGGACAACCTCATAAGGCTTCCATGTTTTGGCTGCCCAGACAGCCTCTGGAGACCACTGGCCTCCTGGAGATGTGGGGGTTCAGAAGCTTAGGGGTTAACTCCTTTATCACCTGGGGTGTGTCACCCCAGCAAGCCCAGTGAAGGGAAATTTCTGCATAAGCCATGTGCCATAGGCCACCCATGCCCTTATCTATATTCAGGCATTCTCACTGGCAGGAAGTCCTTCTTTAGATCTAACTCAAGACACACATATTTGCTTTGGAAACAACCAAAGACTGTTTCCTTGAGAAGTTAAACCCAAGATTAGCCACAGGAGCAGCTTCTAGCTCTGAACAACTACTAATCTCTCCACCTTCTGGAGCATTTGACAAGGTCAAAACTCAGAATTCTGGAGGTTGGGGGGATAGCTCAGTGGTAGTGTGTACTTTGCATGCCTGAGGCCTGTGATTCCCAGCACCACCACAAATAATGAAACAATAACAACCCAACTCAGAAATCTCATACGGAAGGCTTTGGAAACAGGCAATTTTGGATTAAAATACTAGCAGTTCTCATTCTGGCTGGGTGGCCTCAGATAAGTTACTTAGCCTCTCTTAAGCCTCACTTAAGTGATAGCAATTAGTATTATTTTATTATGCATAATCATTTATATAAGAGAGCTTAGCACAGAGTAAGCATCTTGCAAGTGTGTAGTTACATAAAATGTTAGGGTAGGAGGAATTGGATTAATGAGAGGGAATAAGCAAGCGTGAGTCATGTTTTGTTTTGAAGATTCCCAAGGGAGAACTACAAAATCTGCCTTTGACACCCCTTGAGACAAATCTCCATCTCGATGAAAGTGCTCCCTGCTTCAGCTGACACCTAAGTTTGCCATGACTCTGGGTCCTCCATCTCACTCCTGCCCTAAACTCTGGCCTGGGCTCACTCCTCTCACTGTCCCCCTCCCATCCATCCCCCGCAAAGGAAGGTTCACTTACGGCTCAGCTCCAGAGTCCTGCTCACAGTGCCCGTCCCAGCCAACAGGAGGGGAGTAGACGTCTGCCGGGCGCCACCTGCCCATCTTCTCTGCCACGGCCAGCAGGGCTAGCCCGGGCTGGGGGCTGTGCTGCCACAGCTGGCCAGGAGCCCCGCCTCGCAGCGGGTGAGCTTCGGGGAGAAGCGGGAGGGCCACATCAAAGCCGGGACGGAAGGTGTCCACCTTGGGGCTGGCCTCAGCCACCATCGCCCGTCCCAGCTGAGAGGCCCAGGGGCAAGGGGCTGAGTGGAGGCTGAGGACCAGGTGGTTGCTGCCTGAGTTCCAGTGTGGAGGCTCCGGGCTGCAGCCTCCAGTTGGGGTGTCCGAGCTGAGGAAGAGGAGGAGGCAGGCCTCGGCGGGGCTGGAGGTGCCGTAGCGCGAGCCTTCCAGGGAGGCCGTGACCCGGTGATGCATCTCGGAGGTTGGTCCAGCTGCTGGGTACACGAACACCTTGAGGCCATCTCTGCACCTCGAGGTGTCAAAGCAGGTTCCCCAGGTACAGCGGCCACCGTGGGGGGATCGAGGACACGCAGGGGCATCTTCTGTAGGCTCCTCAGGCTGGGAGAAGCTCTGCAGAAGTTCTGCATCCAGCCAGCGGGGCCAGCCTGGGGAGGCCCCTGGCTGAGGCCTGGGCGGCACTGCCAGGCGGAGAAGGGGGAAGACCCCCAGGAGGACGAGAAGGAGCCAGGAGGCTGACAGTGCCACCCAGAGAGACTTTCTCTTCAGGGACTGCATGTGGCCGCCCACGGCCAGGGCTGGGGAAGTGGGCAGCTCTGCAGTCACACAGGAAGAGCAGGCCTCAGGTCAGCTTCCTAGTCCTGCGCGCCTACTGTACAGACGGGAAGACTGAGGCCCACCGAGGCAGCTCCCTGCCTAAGGTCCAGCGGGGAGTCACCAGCCACACGTGAGGAGGACCAGCTTTCTGGACTTGCTCTCCTGCTCCCAGGGGGACTCTGCTTCCTTGGCTTTGGGACACTAAGGCAGCCTTTGCCCTCCTCACAGGGCCCCTGCCGCCAGGCACGGCTCAGGATGATGCAACCCTTGACCAGACAGTAAGGCTGTGGCCCTCTGCCCTCCCGGCTGCAACCCCTGACCTTGCCCTGGACCAAGAGGAAGGCCATCTGCCAGGCCACGAGGGCTGCTGGGGGCTTCCATGGGGCAGCCAGGCTAGGGATATGGGCTGGAAGGAAGCAGGCTCGTGTCCCCTACCCAGCCCTCCTGGACAGCTCCTGAGCAGCCCTGGCCCCCGCTGTGGCCCCTGGCAGGCACTCTTGGGCGGGACTAAAATTAGACGCTACACCCATTGGGCCACCGGAGTCAGCTGAAGGCAGGACCTGTGTGCCGCCAGGGACCCTGCCCCGGGGGGGTCCAGGGGGACTCAGGGTCCTGGTCCTCTTCCACCCTGCCGCCGCCCCCAGCCCAGGAAATGCAGCCCCTTCCCAAGCTCGCAGCTGCCCGGCACCCTGAGGCTCAGAGCTGTCACAGGGCAGAAGCCAGGCCCGGGGCACCGAGCCCCTGCCCCGTGTCCCCCAAGCCCTGCCAGCGTCGTCTCGTTCCCTCGCAGCATCTGGCCGGTCCACAGCTCTTTCCTCGCGCGGCCCGGCTCCGCCCCTGCCGGCCTGATTGGCTCCCGGCTGGGAGGCGGGGTCTCCAACTTAACCCCTTCCCACCAGTTCCCAGTTTGGTAATTAGAACCCGGGACAGGCGCCGCTCTAGTCCACGGGGAAGTTCTTCCTGAACTTGGCTTCCTTCCCACCAGCCTGTGCCCCGTCGAGGGACCCCCTGCCTGGTCCCTTGGTCTGCGCTCTGGGACGGGAGTCGAAATGGGGGATGTCATCCACTGATTGACTGCAGGGGGGGGGGGGGGGGGGGGGGACACAGGAGCCCCTGTCTGACAAAGGAGGGTTCAGAGGGCAGACCTGGAGTGGAGCGGCCTGCTAGGCCCAGAGGCGTGGGGCTCTGCTCCCGGGTAGACAACACCCCCCAGGGGACGGTGATTAGCTCAGATCCAGGCCTAACTCCAAGGGGTCCCCTGACACGGGGTGGCCTCTTTGCCTGGCTTTGACTCCCCTTCCCTCCTCAGAGGGCTGCTGATCTGACTCAGGAGCCACCATCGTAAACCGAGGGTGCAGCACAGACGGAGCACCCAGGCCTGTCCCGAAAATGCCCAGCTAAGGAAACTGGCCTCTTGCCACCAGCAGAGGGTCAGTCTCTGTTTTGGATGACCCAATGACCGTCCCGTAGGCACCAAGTCCTCTCGTGCTTAAAGAGGCCTTCACACAGGCCTGGCTGGCAGTTTCTCCGGCCCGGCCACCTTGCCGGCTGCCTCGTCCACAGGCTTCAGGAGTCCGGGGAAGGCTCCCTTCCTGCAGGAAGCGGCTCCAACCCTCCTGGGCTGGGTTAGGGCCTCCGCTAGGGTCTCCTGCCACTCTTCATTCCTCTACCCGCTCATTCCTTCCTGCACTGGTGCATCCAGCAAATGCGCGGGAGTCTTAACTGGGCGGGTCCCCTGTGAGGCTGTGGGATGCAACACTGACTGTGCGACAAGCACACAGGAGGCGCCCGCATGGCGCTCATTCAGTCCTCCCCCTGACCCTACGAAGGGGATACTGTATCATCCCCATTTTACAGATGAGGAAACCAAGATCCAGAGAATTTAGATCACTTGCCTACATTCCCATGGCGTAGCCAGGGCCATTTTAAGCATCACACCATCCTACCAAGACAGACATCCCTCACCCTCCTGAGCTCACCGACCAGGAGGGAGCAGTACCCAGCAATCAGAATGAGCAGAGGAGACAGGTGGGCATAGAGGGCGGCTGGCAATGGCTTCTGGGAAACCAGACTTACCCTAGGACCCGCAGGACAGCACTATGGCATCTTGGATTTTGCTTTGTGTTGGTTTGTGGTGCTGGGATGGAACCCAGGGCATGCTCCGCTCTACCAATGCGCTCGGACTCAGCCCCAGCCGTGTGTTTTTTAGAAAAATCACCATGGCTTTGTAAGAACGGGCAGGAAACGGGCAGCCCTAGAGCAGGGACAGGCTTTGATGCTTGGTCTGTCAATCAAGTCACTCCTTCAAATGCTACTCCATGAGCCCCTGTAGAGGTGTGGCCAGGCCAGGCAGGTCCTGGGGCTGTGAGCAAGCTGGGGAAACCCTGCCCGCAAGGAGCTTCATTTCCAAGGTGGGGAAGGAGGCCGGGACAGAGGGACAGGAGGTCTGTCTCCTGGCCGTTTGGCGGTAGCTCTGGGAGAGGGGGAGGATTAGGGGTGAGGGTGGGAGCCCACTGCACAGAGAAGCTGGCTTTGGGGTAAAATGCTGAAGAGGTGAGGGAGGAGTGGAGGGTATTTCTAGAGGGAGGGTCAGCCGGGGTGTGGGTTCTGAGGCAGGAGAGTGGCTGTGTGCCAAAGGCATCGCCTGACCTTGCTTTTCCAGCACCCTGGAGGGGTCGTAGGAGAAGAGATCAGCTGCAGGGGCAGGGCAGGAGCGGGGAGCCCTCCTGGGCCAGACCCTCGTGCCAGGACAGTGGCTTGGCCCAGAGTGGCAGGAGTAGAGGTGAGAGGTCACTGGATTCAGGAACGTTGTGTCCAGGGCAAAGGGCAGGCTGGCTGAAGGATCAGGTGAGATTTGACCTGAGCCAAATCTGAGAGTGAGATTGTCACCTACTGAGACGGGGAAGATTACGAAGTGGGGGGCAGTTTCGGGGAGGATCAAGAGTTCAGTTTTGCGACTGGCGGTCAGGTCTGCTGCCAGCACTAATACGACACATGCCCGAGGAGGGTTGGCGGACAAGTGAGAAGCACATGGATGGAGAGAAGCAGAGTGGCCAGGAGGCCAAGGCTACTGGCTGGGGGCATGGAGGAGACGCTATCCTGCTCCTGCTGCCCACCCCAGCCTGGCCTCGCTGTCTGGCTCATGCCCATGCCCATGTTGGAGCATGCACAAGCCCTCTCCTGCCTTCACCCCCGCAGGGATGTGCTCAGGCCGGCCCGAGCGTGCCTGGGCTGTGATTCACAGGCTTGCCAGGCGTGGATGGGGGAGAGGAAGGTGGGGCCTCCTAGCACAGAGAACTGAGCTGATCTCATAAAAAAAAAAATAGATCCTGGGATCTGTCAAGGGCTCCTGGGCATCTGTAGGGTACCCTCCTGTAGCTGGGCTCTTATCTGGGGGCCAGGAGCCAACACACTTGGGAGAAGGGAAAAGGGCCAGGCAGGAAGGAGAAGAGAGCACTGAGCAGGTGGAGGAGACCCGGCCAGAGAAGCTGGGAAAAATCCTAGGAGCCTTCCTGGAGGAGGCAGGGCAGGCTTAAGCAGGTCTTTTTGTGGATTCGAGGACAAGGAAGTGTTCTGGAAGGGGATTCTGGACCTCAGCGCAGCAGTGTTGGTTTCACCGGTGGTTGTTCCACCCTGAGCCTGTGGGCTGCCTGGGTACGGAGTTGCTTCCTGCCTGAGGCACCAAGTGTTTGGTGGAGGCTCCAGGAGAGGGGGAAGGTGGGAGCCCACCGCACTGAGAAGCTGGCTTTGGGGTAAAATGCTGAAGAGGTGAGGGAGGAGTGGAGGGTATTTCTAGGGGGAGGGTCAGCCAGGGTGTGGGTTCTGAGGCAGGAGAGTAGCTGTGTGCAAAAGACATTGCCTGACCTTGCTTTTCCAGCACCCTGGAGGGGTCGTAGGAGAAGAGATCAGCTGCAGGGGCAGGGCAGGAGCGGGGAGCCCTCCTGGGCCAGGCCCTTGTGCCAAGACAGTGGCTTGGCCCAGAGTGGCAGGAGTAGAGGGGTGAGCTACATCCCCAGCCCTGTTGTTTGTGTTTTTTTTGAGAATGGGGGTAAAGTTTAGGGGTGCTTTCCCACTGAACTACCACCCAGCCCTTTTTATTTATTTTTTTATTCTGAGATGAGGTCTTGCTCAATTTCAAGTTTGGCCTCGAATTTACCATCCTCCTGCCTCAGCCTCCTGAATTGCTGGCCACTGCGTGTGGCCATTGTTTTTCCCTCCAGAAGTCTTCACCTGACTTTGACCCTCTCTGAAGGCTCAGGAAGCCATGTGCAGCCTCCCTCCAGTTAGTTCCTGGACCCTCCGGGGGCAGCCAGCCCTAGCCACCAAGGAGTTAACCAACAGAGCTGAAGGTGTTTACCCAGCAAGGAGGCTGCAGAGCCCAGGTAATGAACAGTCCACGGTGGAAGAAGGATTTGTTTCTCCTCCTCCCTCCCCTGGGAGGCTGCTTGGCAGAGTGAACACAGCCCTCTGTTGGCTCTTGAGGAGATGCGCGTGGAGGGGTGGGAGCTGGGGCCCAGATCAGGCCTGGGGGCGAAGGCCCAGAGGTGGGCTTCGAGAAGGACGAGAGGATCTCAGACTGACACTCTCCTCGCAGACTTCGCCTCACTTAGTTCTCAGGACACTGGAAGGGCTGGGCGCCCTTATCTCTGCTTCCAGATCAGGGTAAGGAGACAGAGAAAGGTGACGTCTCTTCCCTAGGGTCACCCAGCTAGTGGGTGGTAGAGCCCGGACTCAAACGTGGCCTGTCTGGCATCAGATCTGCTGGGCTTTCTGCTTCCCCTGATGGAAGAGAAAGAGTTGATTTGTGGAGTCCCTGCTCCGTGCCGGCAATGTGTTGGGCACCCTCTCCAATCCTGGAGGTATCCTTTTCTAGAAGCCCCACTAAGCCGTCAACATCAGAAGAGTGAGGTGGCGCTGTCCAGGCTGGGGAGGGGACAGAGGTGGAGATCCCAGGCACAAGAATAGTTGTCACTTGTGATCCCAATGGCATCCCCACCGGGCGTTCATCATGTCCTGTCAACACCCCTCCAAACCAACCCTGAGACCAGCCTCACCCCACTCCCCCGCCCCCACGACAGACACAGCTGCCATTATTTGGCACCTAGATCACAGCATTGGCCTCTGGTCTCTGCCTTCCTCTTGTCTCTCCCCTTCTCCGTGCGGCAGCCAGAGGCTCACTCTAGAACACAGGCTCCCTTCCCTTCTGGGCTTGAACTCTGGACTAACCATGTGGTTGGATTTTCTGCAAAACCTCATGGAAGCCCAGGGCTCATCGCACTTCACTGTCTCTGGGAGGTTTGTCAGTCATCATGGAGGAGCAGAAGAGACAGCACTTCCTGGGGTTTTCCATGTGCTGGACCCTCCGTGCAGTCACTCCAGTCACTCTGAATTGTCACAACGACCCTCTAAGTTACTAGGATTACTATTTCCACTTTGTAAGTGAGGAAACTGAAGCTCAGAGAGGTTAACTAACATGACGAAAGTCTCACAGCTGACGGGCAAGAGAGCGGGAACTCAAACCCAGCACCCCATGTCCCAGCATGGCGAACGTTCACAATAAATAGGAGCTAGCACTGTTAGCAAAGATCAGATTTCACCCCCCAATTTTCTTTAATATAGAATTTGAATTCCTTTAGCAAGTCATTTACTGTCCTGTTGGCCACAGTCCCCATTTCCTTTCATCTTACACCAATTTACCTGACTTATGGGGACCCCAATGGCATTCATGACCCAAACTCTTCCTCGTCCACTCGCTCTCGTAACCAACACCCA